ATAAAATAAAATAAAATAAAAATTGAGATTGAAAAGCGGGGATGCCCATATTCTATGCTTCCGTTATAATTCATAATTTAAAAAACGGAGTAATTTGCATTTCGGTCGTAGCCTCAAGAGGAGCTCGCATTCCAGACTCGTACCTTTTTTCCCCACGTGGATCGCGATCGTCTCCTTCTACGCGCAACACTGATATTATCGAGAAGCTTATTTGTATTTTATTCTTATGCCATGAGGAGAGATTGTTATGGCTTGCGGCAGACATAATGCCTCAGTTGCATCCTTGTGGGATTACGTCGTAGCACTACCATTTCCAAGCGCGCCACCAATGCGAGAACAGGTGACGATGCTCAGAGATAATATTCCGCAGCTTGAGAAGCTTGGTTTTAAAGTCAGTAGCATATCACATTAGTAGCGCCTCTCCCGTCAATTGATCGTCCGCATTGGCATTGAAGGCGTTGAAGGGCTTGCCGGTGTCACCACCAGCCATCCTCCTGGCTACGACGGCGTAAGGCTGCACTACCATCAGCAGGTCTATGTGACTGCTCACTCACTAGCAGAGTCTTGTCTCGCATTTTTTTTACATATAAGAGAGTTTTCTCACATTGGGTGTTCCTGAAAGCTAGCCATGCCTGAACAGAGACATGCATTAGGCTGGTGCTCTGCTGGTCAAGTGCCGATGCTGCCGATCGCCCGTTGCAAATGCTATGCCGGTTCCAAGAATTGACTCAGATGTTCCCATGGCATTTGCCATGGGAGAGCGAAAGATGCGACAGTCGAAGTGATCAACGTGGGTATTGCATATCCCGGAGTGGTTTTCGCAGGCGGATCTGTCTGCCCACGCATTCCTCCCTCGCGCAGCCACCATCGTTCGCCCTTCAAACTGACTTACAAGCCAAAACGCCTTTTTTTTCTACCACCCACGACTTGTCCATGTGCCTGGCGAATCGGCATTCTGTCTTTGCAGCACGCAGGGTTCTGCAGCGAAAGTTCTCCGTCTCTCGCCGCCGGGTCAACTACGTCAGAGAGCTCCTGTGGCAGCTACCGCATTCCGTTTTCTCGTGCCACCAGAATGGCTTCGACTGGCGGGCATTCCATGAGCCTGGCCAGGTGACGCCTCGCACATAGTGCCATCGAGGTGCTCGCAATACCAGTCTGAACGAGCTACACACTCCAGCCAGGACTCGGAACTATTATAAAATGCTTGCCGTGCTGCTTGCATCTAAACGTGCTTCCTTTGTTCCTCAGCAGCTTGCATATCTCTACATCACTTGCAACTTCCACCACTCACACATTATAAAACAAAAAATCTTCCACCTCCCAAAATAATACCGCCAAAATGAAGTCTGCCTTTGTCACCCTTCTCCTCTCCCTGTTCGCTGGGGCCGCTCTGGCAGCGCCCACCGGCATGAGCAACATGGCCATAGACGCTCGTCAGATGAAAGCTATTCACATTCTCCACCAGAACAAGGAGGCTCTTGGTCTCAGCGGCGACGAGATGCAAATGTTCGACAAGTTCATGGAGAGCATGGAGGGCATGCAGAAGCGAGACTACCAGTCCAAGCCTACCAAGGAGGCTACGGAGGCTGTTGGCAAGGCCACCAAGGGCCTCAAGACTGCTACAATGATGGAGCGCGACATGATGGGCAAGCCTGCAGGTGAGCTCAAGGATACACTGAAGAAGGCCACTAAGGGTGCCACCATGATGGAGCGCGACATGATGGGCAAACCCACAGATGAGCTCAAGGATACATTGAAGAAGGCCACCAAGGGTGCCACCATGATGGAGCGCGACATGATGGGCAAGCCCACCGATGAGCTCAAGGATACACTGAAGAAGGCCACTAAGGGTGCCACCATGATAGAGCGCGACGTAATGGGCAAGCCCACCGATGAGCTCAAGGATACACTGAAGAAGGCCACCAAGGGTGCCACCATGATGGAGCGCGACGTGATGGGCAAGCCCACAGATGAGCTCAAGGATACACTGAAGAAGGCCACCAAGGGTGCTACCATGATGGAGCGCGACGTGATGGGCAAGCCCACAGATGAGCTCAAGGATACACTGAAGAAGGCCACCAAGGGTGCCACCATGATGGAGCGCGACATGATGGGCGAGTCCACTGGACTCAAGGATACACTCGACAAGACCACAAAGGGTGTCAAGGGTACTGCCGGAGGTGCCACTAAGGATGTCAAAGGTCTCACCAAGGGCCTTGGTCTTGGAAAGCGTGAGGAGATGGCTGATCCTACCAAGGCTGTCACAGATGAACTGGAGAAGGCTGGAGTTAAACCCGAACAGATCAAGAGTCTTGTTAACGCCCTCGGCGGAAAACTCGATGACGTCGTTAAAGGTCTCACCGGCAAGGATGCTAAGCTTGCAAAGACTCTTGGCTCCGTCGGCAAGACTACTGATGGGCTTCTGGGAAGCAAGGGGAAGCGTGAGGAACAAGAAATGGCAGCCAAACCTAGCAAAGCTGTCATCGATGCTTTGAAGAAGGCTGGAGTTTCCCCCCAACAGGCTGAGAGCGCCCTCAGCAAGGTCGGAAAACAGCTCGATAGCGTCCTTGAGGGTGTTACTGGCAAGGATGCCGGTCTTGATGGTACTCTTGATTCCGCCGGCAAGACTCTAGGTGGGCTTCTGGGCAAGCGTGAGGAAATGGCTGCAAAGAAGGGAAAGGCTGCCTCCGCGGATGTTGCAAAGCTCGCTATGTCTGCCGGTGGTGGCAAGAAGGGTGGCCTCTTGGGTGGCTCACTTATTCCCGGTCTCCTCTAAGTGTGTGACTTCAATGTGGATTGAGTTTTGGCCTAGGTAGCAATCGATGTAAAACGGCGATGCCAACCCCTGGTTGCGGTAGCTTTCCCGGCTCCGAAGATGACGATTGCTTTCCGAAATAGTTTGATTAATACTATGTTTTGTCTACCTGAGTCATTTTCGTGCCCTCGCTCTGTTTCATGTTTTTGCCATGAAAATAGTCAATGTAGGTTTCGCCTAGAACCCGTCTCTCTCTATATTCAAGGCATACATATCGGAAATGATCATGACAAAGGTCTGCGCATTCCGGACATGGCCTTTTAAAAAGCAGTTCAGATCAAGCAGTGGGCTCAACGGAGATCATCTATAAACATGGTTCAAGAGTGTAATCACGACGAAAAACGTACAACTTACAACCGTGGGACAGCATAACATTTGCAAGTGGCTGCTATACTGGCTTCAACTAATGCGATTCTCGTTAATTTATGTTGTTTTCCATGAGCTCTAGTTTTTTCTTCCCCATGATTGCCAATCGGCGCAAGTGTATGGAGTACAAGAACTGGAACATCTTCCCCCGTGTAGACAGTGCATGTAGGACGTACCTAGGTCACAGGACAAACGTGCGTTTGCTGTGCCGCGTTGGACTCAAAAATCGCCCTTCGCGCCAGTCATGATTCAAAATGTTATTAATTAGCATTGATTGTGAGCGGAAATTATAGATAGCAGCTGCAGGCAGCAGTAATTACTTCGCGCAATGGCTGCTTTGCGACGCCGCAAATGCCATACACAATATTCATGCCCTGATCTCATCCTTGATTTTATGGGATGCTCCCAAAAGTATTTCTCGAGTAGCAGGCTTACATCTTTTGAGCGTTGCAGAACTGTTTCTGCCTCGTGTTGCAGAATTTCACGTTTGTGAAATGGCGAGAGAACATACACGTACGACGAGTCGCAAATCTCGGGCGCGGAAAATTGCATGTCCTCACCAGAGCCTCCATCACCTGTCACCAAATGAAGGCCCTCTACTGCCACCATCATCGCCACCGTCACGACAGCCCCAGCATTGTCCGCACCACCACAGCTCAAGCACTACCGCCGCCATATGAACGCAGGCCACGGCGGAGGCGACATGTACGGCGGCTCTCACACCAATCAACTGCCAGAGCCACAACCTTTTCAAGGAGTGCGCTCGATTGCGACTCCGATCTGTCCTTCATCCTCGTCCTCCGTCGGGCTGGTATCTCTGAGCTGATTTCCTCTGGTGAGTGTGTTTGTGTCTATCTTTATCTGTATGCGCGCCTTACAGTTGAGCCCTGGAGACCTTGCATGCCAGCGTGTTGTACGGGCAAGAGCGCCTGTACGCGTTGGCACATTAGTTAGCCAAGATCATTCCCAAACGCTGCCCAAACGCAACTCCTAGACAATAGTTGCTTAATGAGCATGTCTCTGATAATAATAATATTATGCCCCCCAGACCTATTGAGTATGCATAAACTCCCTCTTATCCATTGTTTTTCTTGGTCAGCAATTCCTGTTGATAGTGGTTGCTAGTCATTGATTATGTACGGGCAGCAAGAGCCACAGCGGTTATAGGCAATGATTAAAAGCCACTTACAGGCAGCTCGCCGCTGATAGCAGTGGTTGCAGGCGGCAGTGTAGCGCGCTCTCCGCCTGCAACTAGTGCTATAACTGTAGTGTGTGCCAGATTTGTAGTCATGTGACTGGTTCTTGTTTGCTTTCGTGGCTAAAATCCCCGTAGCAGCATTTGGCGCGGCAGTGTGGGCAGGCACACACACTGACCTCGTCATGCCCGACGGAGTATTGAGTTTTAGATCCACGCTCAGTTACACATTGCCGAGTCCCGTAGTCTACCAGCCGCCGATTCACGGAGTACATGCTGCAGAATTGTCTTGGCTTGGCCAAAGTGGTGTGAATTTTTACAGGAGTGAATAGTGTGCTATATAGTCCATAATTACTGCCTGTTCCGCATCGGTTGGTCTCGTCGACTAATGGCTAAGTCGTCGCCCTCCGGAATAGGAAATAGGCGGAGATTCCAGGTTCGAGTCCTGGCGGGATCGACGTTGACTTTCAACCGTTCTTTTTTTGGTGTGTGTGATATTGCTCGATTTTCTCGATTTTTTACGCCTCCCGGCCGGATGGTAGCCCGCATCACGCCCCCTTTTTTGCCAAACCCCACCAAATATGTGGGGCATTGAGCAGGATACCCGCAGTTTTGACAGCAAAAAAAACATACTATGCGGCACAAAGTTTTTAGACATGTGCTATCGTGGAAGAGACCTAGGGGTATGCGAAAACTTTATGCCTTCCACTGTAACAGCGACAACGGCCTGGACCGCGCAGCATGAGTTTAAAGACAGTTCATTTTGGATGACATCTGGTTGTGGTATCGTGAACTACGCATTTATTATTAGCAATCACTATGAGCAACAAGAAGTGCCGGTGTCACCTTTCATGCAACGCGCAGAAGTAATCCAGGATGTTTTGAATACTGGTTATACATGCTCTGAAATGGTTTGCCATCAAGGAAACCCTATACAAGCTACTAAATACAAGGAAAACTTTTTTGGCATACTGATGCACCAAACCATTACCATTACCATGGTAGTCTCGGATCCCCGAGACCGATGTGTATCCACACTCATGTGCTAGTGCTCCAAACCGTAGTAAGCGTCCTGCCGGCTCTTGTCTCTATATGCAATAATGGCGAGCTTCCGCTCCAAACCGTACGGCCTCGGATCAGACTTGTTCCCAAGGTCCAGTGCCTGAAACAAACTACTCGCAGAGAACTATTATTGGTTTTCGGAAACGGTCTACACAGTAATGGTGAACAGAGGGACTCCAGTCCACAGACCGGACAGAGAATTAAGGAAAGACAGCGGGTAAGAAAGTGAAATCTTTGTTGCAAGGTCAGGGTTGTGCTAAGCCATCCTCGCTCGTAGTTTTGATTGGTGGGTTGGAAATGTCACTTTCCCAGTCTCATATCCTGAGAAAATTGACATCCGAAATACTTCTGTGTCTCTTGTGACTATTGCTCACTTCGCTGGAAGCCTTTCGCTTGGCTGATGCAGACTCCAGGGGGCTTCGGGCCATGTCGCTCATATGCTTCTTGTGTCGTCGGATCGGGGTCAAGGGTACGCCCGCCGTATCGAAACGATCTGACTTGAGCCCACGGATTGCGCTGTAGTTGTAGGGGCCGCTAAAGGCAAGAGAATCTTGGGTGGCCTTATTGCTTAGAATCAACTGTTGATTGATCTGGTTGCGTCGGAAGGCACCAACAGTGTCCGAGTTGAGATGTGACAGGACTTCAATCTCGCTAGAAGCTGTCGTGGGTCTCACGGGTGTCGACATAGGCTCCCAAGTGCCGTTGTCGCCTTCCTCACCGGAAGAATTGCCGTCGTCCCACGTAATAAAGTCGCTGATGTCGAGCTTTTTCTCAGCCTCGTCTTCGTCCCCTTGGATACTACCCGTGGAGCTTTCCTCGGCGGTGCCTGTCTCCGATGGAAATGGAAAGAAGGCTTCAGCAGGACCCATGGTCTGAGCATTAACGAAATCGCCAAAAGTGTTGGAAGAGAACATGGCACTGAGCATCATGTTGGCAGAGTTACTGAGAATTGGAGATGATTGTTCCTCTATGGGCCATGGGAAGTTGAATTGCTCTGGAGACAGGTCAAGCTGACGGCGCCGGTGGGGAGTGAAAATCATCATCTTCCTGGTCAGAGGGTTCAAGACAGCAATGGGTTTCTTATCCGATCGGTCAAGATTGAACCGTCCGACACGGGGCTGTCCGCGCTGTGTTTTCACAGGGGATGGTACGTCCGAGTCAGAAACTTCACTCATGGGCACAGACGGACGACGAGACTTTCTTCGAACAAGAGGTTCGGGAATGTCTTCTTCGGTTGTGTCACCATCGGCTGAGAAAAGGTAAAATTGTTAGCAACGAGACTAAGAACAATTGTCCCGTGACATCCAGGACTCACTTTCGTATCCATCAAGTTCCAGAGACTCTTCGAATGAAGGGGTGAACTTGATTGGAGATGTGTCGATCTGTGGAGGTTTAGGAGTGGCAGTCAGGGTATCGTCATCGGAAAGTTCACGAATGACGTCCTCGGCATCGGAGTCATCGTCATGTTGTTCGTACTGGCCGCTATAATCCCAAAACGAGCCTGAGCCAGACGATTCGTCTGGGTCATATTCTATTTCACGACGGAATGCTGGGTCAAGTGAGGTTTGCGATACAAAGATATCAGGAAATAAATCGCCATGATCATCGTCTTCATCTGTATCTGTAGAATCAGAGTCACTGGAAGGCACATCAAAGCGAACATGGCGCTCCACAGCTGCGTCAGAGACGAAGGGAGGATCCCGGAAAATGTCCGACGCTTCACTTTCGTCAACCTCAGAGACAATACCAGCCCAGCTGGCACTCTCATCAGCATCCGGGTCTGCGACTGGATGAGTGGGATCAAAATCTCCGTCGTCGATTCCGTTGTCATCGTCGTCATCATCATCATCGTCGTCGTCGTCGTCATTGTCACTCACATGTGGCGGTCGAGGAGATTCTGAAGGCTTTGCCTCTATCAGAATGTTTCGCTCCTCGACCGCATTGACATCTTCCTCGTCATCGTCAGAAGAGTCGCTAATCTCCTCAACGGCAGAGTAACCATCATCGTCGGACAGGTCGAATGAAGATGAGGTGTCTGAGCCTCTTCGCTTGGATGCCTTTTTGGCAGTTGTGGCAGGATACTTCTGCCGAATGTTTCGTGACATGTCTGTGAAGAAGATTGATGCGTATAATCGGTTTCGGGATGGTTCTTTGTTGTCGTACCAGAAAAATTGTTTATAGGGGGGCCCGTTCTATGAGTGATCGATATCTCTATTGTGGCAGTGGCAATGAAGTACAGAATTCCAGCGTATTTGCCCAGTGGTCAGGGAATGTGAATAGTCTAAATGACGCAACTGGTGCAAATACAGACAGGAGTCGTGAATAGACGTAGAGAAAGGGAGGGTGAGGAGAGAGTGGTGTAAAGGCGTGATGATATCGGATGAACTGGCCCTGTCAAGACGGGCTAATGGCAGAATCTTTGATTTCAGATACAGACTCTCGAGAGAACCGCTTGTTTGATTCGGTGATGCGATATATTTCACGGCTCAGGAGCGTGAAAGCCTGCTATGGAACTAAATCGTCGACGTATAATGGTTGTAACACTCGGTGAACTGCTGGACTGCGGGCCACTGACGGTGGCCCGCAGTGGGCGTTTACAGCTCAGCGACGGCCGAAGGCATCTTGACACGACGATAGTTCCGAATTGGGTATGATCTATTAACTGTTGTAATAGGGCGACTTCGTTGTCTTTGATGTGGTTTGATGGGTTGTGATGACTCGAGAGGAGAGAGGAGGGAAAGAGCAAAGGGGAGCCGGCAGTGGGAGAAATAGTCGATTCCCAAACTTTTCTCTGCCATGGTGGGGTCTTGCGCCTGATTCGCCTAGCTCACAGGGGTGGGCGGCGGGCAGAGGAGCTAGTCCGTAACGGGTCATGGACGTGGAACTCGGGGGCAGCAAGGTGCAACAAGCTGCACCTGGTGCAGCGTCACCGCTCTTTGTCACTCCAGCGAATCCTCCCTTTGCTGGTGGCAGCATCGTAATAGTTATAGGATCGTCCTGAGGGGTATCTCAGGGGTATCTCTTGGTCGGTTTGGTCCAGAATTTGACGTCAATTTAACCACTTGTTAGGCTGGTTGAGGGGTATAGGGACCCAAGTCAAGCCCTACGTTCCACACCAAGCTTCAGACGCCAGTGATATTTTGATCCAATATCAAACTGTCGACAAGGGACTCTAGCCTTCGCGAGCTGCGCCTGCATCATCGCTGGTGCAAGGCATTTAGACCCTGCGCCATCCCACGCGTAATTGCAGCCACCAGACAGGACCGTACTGTATAAAACCAAATTATCCCGTGTGATAGCCGCCCAGCGTGTACACAATATTCAACATTGAGAGTCGACCAAAAGGGCACGATTGCGGCTTTGATGTGCATAAAGATTATTTGGGGGAGGACAAAGTTCGATATTTTTTTCGGGTTAATTGATAGTTACCTGGTCATTATGCAGCCGCCAACGCTGTGCTGTCCTCTACGGAGTAGAGTAGCGGCATGACGAATGGAAAGCGGGGTTGACAGAAGTTAGTTACTTCACAATACTCCGTGCAGCTGCTATACTTGGCGTCGAGCATGCAACACCTGTCAAATCGTCACAGACATGCAGGTCCCAGGGAGAGGTGTTTCAATTAAGGGGGCTGCGGGCGACTTCAATACATCGGCCACTTCTACTGCATCAACATCTATCGACGTTGGCATTGGAAGGCTCAGGACTAATACTCATTCCTCAAGTTGTTGTCTGGTCGCTGTCGGCGATGACCGTCCCTTCAACTTTTTTTGTTTCTTGGGTCTGCTCTTATCAGCCGCCATGCAAAGGACCGAACGTCAAACCCTGGATCGGCGACTCTGGAACCCATTCTCCACTTCAATGGGCTTTCTCCTTCGCACTCCGCCAGCCTAGTTTTTCCCGTAGTTAACATCGGCAAGGCGAATCGCTGTAGTTACATGCGATGGTGCCACTTTGTCATAGTACTATGGAGCCTACTCCGTGCATGTAAACTACATTATTCTCGTGACAAACTACTAACGGCAGCATGTCACGAGACCCGTGTGTTCGTTTCTTCGCGAAGGTGCGCGCTGTCGGCTTGACCTCCAATACACAGTAGCGTAGAGAGCAGGATAAATACAGTCAACAATATGACACAAGCTGCTCTAGCAAACAAACGAGAATGCCACTGCCCGTTGTGGCACCACAGCCGCCCCGGCACAGAGACGAGCCTGGACCACTAATTCGTCGGATCATGTCCTTCATGACCGTCGACTAACTTACCGCCGTCGGCCTGCTGCAGAGTACCAGTGTCACGATTCGGACTTTTGAATTGAAGGCGGTACTACTCCGTATGAGGACACAAATCACCGACGTGGGAGCCTAATCGCCCAACCACTTCGCCGGGCGTATATAGTA